TATAATTTAATTTTTAAAATCATTAAATAAATATGGGTGTAAAATTTCGTTGCTTTTTATTAGTTCAAATTTGCCGCTCAATAATACAACCGTAGTAACGGAAGTGATGGGAAACGGGGGAGGTAAAAACTGATACATAGGCCTAGCAGCCTTGTTGTTTGTTTACATGTGGTAAGATCGAATTATTGTTAAGTTAAAGGTACATTTATTAAATCTGGAATTTTCCATGAATCCCGAGGACTGGAATGAGAGGATTGTATGGATACAGATGATTCAGCTGCTTGTCGGGGGGGGGGGGGGGGGGGGGTGTCCCCATACCAAACCAGGTTATACAGAAATAATTTGTGTTCTTTTTTGGATATTAACCAATCAGAGGCTAGAATACAAACAAAATTGAATTATATCTAAATGTCGAGTTGAAGGCCACAGCAAGTGTTTTTTCTTTCCATACACAAGAGTTTGAAGACGCACAAGATGTTGGAAGATTTTGAACAAATTCTGCTTCATATGAATACAAAAATAGGTCTCCTAATAACGGGGTACAATTGGTACCCGTTGGAATTTCAATAGATTGTTGGAAAACCTGGTCTCCGAAAACCACATAGATATTGTCTTATATCCTGTTCACAGATTTGTATCGATTGTAGATTTTTTTTTCTTTTGAGATCGATCATTGTTGTTATTTTCTTTTTTTAAAAAATTTTGTACCATTGCACTTGTTGAATCTAAAGCAGAAAAGCTGTTACCCAATGACAATGTTTTCATGTGAGGTGCCTGAAAATAGAAGGGATATCCACCATGGTCGTATCCCCCCCCCCTCCAATATTTTTTCCAGTATGTAGTATACTGTGCCTCCTCAATAATAACGTCTGATGTCATTTTTAATTTTTTCAAGGAATTTTTGCTTGGTAGTGCCCCCAACTGAAAATACTTGGGTTGCCAACCTTCACAACTAAAATTGCTTCCTATGGACCTGTCCACAGCCATGCATTTACCAAAAAAATTCTCTAAAACATCGGTATTGAAATAAAATTAGAGGATTTTTTTTTTATTGTTTCTTCTTATGTGCGCAGCTAGTCCGAAATATCTGATGTTTTTTTTTCAGGTTTTTTTCACGATTTTGATATTTTACGTGCCAGGAAAACGTCAGAACCGGCGCCATTACTAAAACTGGGAATTCGCCGCCTACAACCGGAGGCGGCATTCTCGGGTTGATTTTTGATACTTGCGAACCGAATTAAATGTCAAACTCAAAACTTATCAATAGTACAATACTTTTAGTACTCATCAACATCATTTTTATGGTTTGCTTATAAAATAAACAATTGGATGAAAACATTTTATCTGACGGTCGAGATTTGTTTTCATTTTGTGCATTTTAAAATTTTGCAAGTCCTCTATCGAAATGTGGAGTGGTGTTTTCTTTTCATCGATATTGGTGAGTACTAGAAGCATTGTGCTATTGATAAATTGTGAGTTCGGCATTTAATTCGGTTTGCAAGTATCGAAAATCAACTCTGGTTGGAGAAGGCGAAATTTCCAGTTTTCATAATGGCGCCGGTTCTTACGTTTTCCTGGCATTTAAAATATCAAATCGTAAAAAAAGCCAGGAAAACGTCAGATATTTCGGACTAGTGCGCAGCTTGAAATAAAAATGAAACTTGTGTTGAAAAATATCAGGTTAATTTCATTTCAGTGTTTTTGCGCGAATTCAAATATGAAAGAATTTAAGATATCCTCCAGTTGGACTTGTTTCACATGAAAATGGTCAGCAAAATTCACTTGAAGCAGATTTCCCTGTCTTTTATCATCGGAAAGTGCCCTGACAGGTTAAACACATTTGAATGTGATAGACGTTATATTATAAATTGGAATAAAAGAAATATTAATATCTAGCTGTTTTACTTACCATAAAGCCATCCTGTAATGAATCAAGAAATACATATGGGTGAATTAAAAAATAATGACCACTAAAATTGAAATTTTTTGAAAAAATTCAGCTACTAATAATACATTTTTCCCTTATATCATCATATTGTAAATCCATTCTAGTTAATATTCTTGAATTTGCAGTAGAATAGACAATTGGATTAAAAGGTTTCCGAATTTTTATTGGTAAAACTTTATTTGAAAAAAGAAAACACCACTACATCTTAAAGTTAAAAGGCTTTCTAAAATACATATTCAAAAGAAATTATATTTTTTTATGCTTCAAAATGGTATCAGGGATATAAATGATTAGATCTAAACCTTGAAGAAATTTCTTCTTTTGTACATGTGGAAAAAAAATTGGCTTTTTGATTGTTATTTTACATCACTTTTCAACTCTGGTTTGAAAAGATTTATTATGAAAGAAATATGAAACAACAAAATTCCCCCAAAATTACCTTTTTGTCGATTTAAGTCACTATTTTAAAGCTAAGCCAAAAAAGAATTTTGATATACAAGTTTTCTTACAAAAAATACTAGATTTTGAAGTGACCCTATTTTACATTATTGTGTTGCACTCCTGATTTTATTTAACATTGTTTTAAAAATTGTAACACACAGTAACCCATTCTTAGTTTTTAAATCAGTTCGTTGTTTTGATATTTTTTTTATCATTTACGGCAAGTTTTTCATGTTTTCAAGACTTCAAAACATGATTATTTGCAAGGTGTAATATACATTGTATTTAAAAATATATGAAAACTATTCTCTGAATTGACTGTAAAATGACTGTAATTAGTTGATAAGTTCAAGTTTTGAAAATCTTATCAAACATTTTTTTTTAATTAATTTTTTTTTTTTAAGATTGATGAAGATCATTGATAATTATAAAGCAGATTTGTTGCACTCCTGACTGCAGTAAAATTAAGAATTAAAACCATAGAACACAAAAACTCATAAAGTGTTGCCAACATCAAGTGGTAACGAAATTGTGCAATATTTATAGTCCAATACTTCATAATTAAAACACATGAAAGTGTTTAAAGTTGGCTTTATATCTTGAATTATTCCATATTCATATCAAAAAACTAGCTAAAATATAAATTAAGAAGATAAAATATATTTTATAGTATATTTTCCTTCACAGGACAAACACTGTAAAGCAACTGAGGTCAACTCGAAACATTCTACTCATCAATTTTTTCTTTATATTTATTCATATTTGATCAGCAATAATTCTAACATATTTGTTTCACTCCTGACCTAGAGCATAGGAGTTTTAAAGTAGAACTGTGAAGCAAACATTACACCAGAACTCCGTTCTGTTGTGTCAGTGAAGTTGATATGGAATTACTTGAATTTTATATTAATTTTTCAGCGTGTTTAATTTTTTCATTCATAAAAAAGTCAAAGAAAAAATAAAAACACATATCAATTGATAAATTGAAAAAGGATTTTAATGATAAAACTGTCAATAATTTAGAACTAAATTATTCAAATAGATCATTATTAATTCTTCCTGTATGTAAATAAGAATTAGCCCAGCTGATGCATTAGAAATAAAAACATGTAAGAGAGGCTTGGATGAAATGAATCCATGGTTTTATTTAGTTGAACACACATGTAGAACATGAAACATTACATAATAATGTGTGTAGGCAAAATGATAAATGAGGAATAAAAACATGCTCCAAAAACTAACTAACAAACTAAATCTAAACTAAAAATTCAACTAAGCATATAATATTGGTGAGAGGAGGGCAGGCGGGACAAAAGTACAAAAAGGCCTTGCTCTTGCAAAAAAAAATTTTAAAATTGACAAGTGCATTGTTTTCCTCAACTGATATACCGGGTACTAGAAATAGAAGACTTGTGATTGGTCAGAATGAAGTGGGGGACCATCGGAAGTCCTTGTAATTAACCGCAGCTTAATTATCATACGAAAGTATCAGTACCCTAGATAGGTGCATACATCTGGGTATTGTCAACAGTGCCAATGTCAGTAAAAACAAAGAACTGCACTGCAGGTCTGAATCTTACCCAGTAGGGTGTGAAAGCACAGATGTGACAGGTGTCAACAGGAGTAATTAATAAATAATTAAACAATATCTTATATACAAATTAATTAAAGAATATTTCTTAGCATGAATAGAAGTCTTTTCATCATACAACTTGAATCTTTAAGAAAAAATGTGTTGCAATCCTGACCATAGAAATATGGATCTGAAACACTGACAGACTCTTTAATTGATAAATCTATTTAGTAAAACTGTGCTTTGTGTCTTTATTTTCCATAATAAAAACCAGAGAATCATATACTGTTAAAGTTTTTTTTTCATGCTGGGGAGCAAAATATCCAATTTTGCACTCCTGACATTATTGGGCATGCACAGATACTTGACTCTCATTAATGCTGCTTGTGACTTATATAAAATTTTAAAGTTTTAAATTGTATATCAGTTATTGTTTTACACTTTGAAAATCCTTCTTGATTTAATTGTCTTTCAAATTTTTGAAATCGACTTTTTTCCTTCTTTTTTTTTGGCAACACTTCATTTTTTCTGTTGGACTCCTGACATGGTATAACATTTTTTTCAACATCAACTTGGTCAAACAAAAGTTGCTACAGTCTACATTTAAAGTTCAATCCTTTGAATATTATCAAAAAAAGTCTTTATTTCCAACATAAACCATTATTATTTATTTCACAGATCTTCAAAACAATATTGAATTTTCAAAATGTCACAAGAAGGTGTTGCACTCCTGACTACCGACATTTTTAGCATCATTTTTGGGCAAAACTTTTTTGTCAATTGTGATATCAATGCGATGTTTGGCAGGTATTTAGACACTATCTAAAGATATATACTGAGACATAGAAATTTATTCCCATTGCCCGTATTTTTAGTGCAGGTTGATAAATATGTGTTTGGTCTTTTTTTTTAAATTCACCTATATGCACCATGATTTCAGGTCAACGGGTGGGGGCAATTTTACTTCTTTGCATTCCTTTTTTCAGTGTCTCCAACATTTCTTGAACTCCCTCAAAAATAAAGAGAAAACACGACGATGATCATGGAAATATCTTTTTTTTTTATTTCATTAAGATCCAGCAATTTTTCCATTTTACTTTTTTGGGTCTACAAGTAACTTCATCTAGCGTAATACAATCACAGATAATAAACATATGGCTTTAACTACACAACCAGCAGATCTAGAGCACGCTGATATAGAACTGCATGAACAAAAGAAATGCATCAGTCAAACTTCACTGTAGAATTTTGAAGTATTGGTGTCCAGAATCCTGCCTCACGGTTAGGACTTCTGTTCCGTGGGTCGCAGCAAGATATCGTGAATCTAAAAACATAAAAGCGCATTTCATAAATACCACTTGTAATATTTTACAGCCCTTTCATGATATCGATATATCTACATCACAGAAATATCATATTGTTTGAACGAAGATTAAAGTCATGTGCTTTTCTTTGAAGTCGATATATCTATGGATTGACCGAATCAATGGGCTGTATTTATTATATTATTATTCTTAAACTATTAAGAGACAAAAAATTCAACATATTAAAGTTTGTAAGTTTGAAAAAATTATTAATATTAATTTTTATAAACTCGTTTTTGGATTTTCCCGGTTATTAATATTTTTAGTAACTCAGGTCAATATTGTATATTAATATAACTTTGCACACGATATTCAGTTGTTTAGCTGATAATACAGTTGTTGTTGCTTTTGAGGACAATACGATGATTTAGCTACCTGTGCGTACAGTATTCAAGGAACCCGAAAGGCGAGGTGAATATTGTACTTTGAGGGCTGCTAATTCATCGTACTGACTGATAAAGAAGCAATCATTGGTTTGTTGTATGTTTCCATGAATAAATGATACAAACTCGTCAAACCCTACCATCATTCTTGATTGTTTACACTTGTGAAAGTCCTAGCCGAACTCAGTGAGAGTAGCAGGATTAAAATATATTTTCTTCAATTGAATTTCTTGATAATGTAAAAAAAGAATGTAATGTTCATCTGAAAGTCGGATGCAGGTGAAATAACTTTTCAAAACTTAGTGTATTAATTTGGGAAGTTCTCGGTCTATTTTTAGTCCAATGTAGAAAAAGATGTTATGTTCATCTGGAAGATCTCGTGCAGGGGAACATAACTTAGTATGATTTCTACAAAGTTGGATCTCAGCTAGGAATTATTTACCCGTATATTAAAACAGGATATCCAAGTAACGTGGAGCTTATGAGTAACACAGAATACAGTATCAATACTGTAGAATGAAACTATTTATTTACTAGTAATAGATACATGTATATATTGTTTAATTTATTTATGAAAAGAAATAAGTATATTATGTATTTTTTAATTGGGTGTTATTGGCGTTTCACCGTCTTTGCCACCGTCCTTTGTTTATCAGGGAATGTGTTTTTAAGTTTATCACTTGATGCAAATTATTAAAATAGTGTTAAGGGTGTTACCTAAAATATGAAAAACTTACTTGTACGTGTGGTGGTGCACTCAGTGCATATAAAACTGCGTCCGCTATGTCATCCGCCTCCAAACACTAAAACATTCGTACATTATAATAGGCTTGTTTTCTTCTAAACACTAAAACATTCGTTCGATCATTATTCTAGGCTTTTCTTCTAAACACTAAAACATTAGTACATCATAATAAGCTTGTTTCCTTCTAAACACTAAAACATTAGTACATAAAACTAAGCTAGTTTTCTTATGATGGCAATTAAATCGTCACTGATTTAATGTACAGTAAAAAGGTAGTTTTATTTTAATTTCAGTTATGTGTTTGTTATTATCACATTATCGCGGCTCTTAAAGTTTAGAAATTGAAAATCCTGCTCACAGAGAAAATTTTGTTCGTTTATTTTCACCCCTTTCGCCCTCGTCGTCAGTGGGCGAATTTTGAAGTGCACGGGCTAATTCAAAGAAGAAAGCATTATCTTTTTAATTAACCACTGTGTCCACAAGAATTTAAAAAGGAGCAAAAATTTTCGGAAGTGTGAATTGGCGAAAATAACACGGAGCAAAAATAACCCTGTATACAGTATTTATATATTTGTTGTTAATAAGGGACATTTTAAACTTAAAATTGAATGCAAATTTCTTTCCTTGATTTGATATATTTGTTTATTCACTTTGACAGATAACTTAATTAAATTCCAAGTTTTAAACTTCTGAAAAAATACTGCGAATATGATGTAACCTGCTATATTTAATGAGAATGGAGCATATATACCCTTGATGCTTCTTATTTTCGTTTGAAACCACCCTGCAGTATGATTACTGTACTCATTATCCATATCGTCGCCCGCGTGGCGCAGTGGTTAGAGCGTCTGCTCTAGAGTCGCGGAGTTAGGAGTTGATCCTTACGTCGCGGGTTCGAATTCCACTGTGGGACGTGGAGACCGGTCCTTCGGATGAGACCGTATAAACCGAGGTCCCGTGTCGCAGTAGGTGCTGGCACGAAAAAGACCCCTCACTGCTCAAGCCGTAAGTGCAGCTCTCCACCCGCAAGTGGTGGCGTCTCCATATGAGTGAAAAATTCTCGAGAGGGACGTTAAACAACATACAGACAAACAAACAAACATTATCCATATCTTACATGTACATGTTTTCTACATAGGTACATGCATATTTTTGAAAAAAAGGGTAGAAATTAAATGAAACAAAATCAAACTTAGATATAAATTTTGTTCCTCAATCAAGTTTTAAAAATTTTAAAAATTGAATTCCGCTGACCTTTATGTGGTTATTAATAGCCTTTCCCTTCTCCTCGCTTTTGTGCATTCTTTGCTGAAATTCCGTGGCTACTAAACCGGGACTCACAGACTGTTTAGATAAAAAAAAAATACATTCATTATTTAGGTACCTTATAATCTGCATAAATTTTCTCCCCTTCTTCTCTACTTTTTTGTTCGTCTTATTTTAAACTGCGTTTTTACCATCCCAGGGCTTACATTAATGTTGTCTAAATTCACATTAAAGTGTATATATACATGTATATATATATATATGCTCAGTTTAGATAATAATTGAAATACATGTACAGTACTAGTAATAGGGAACTTTTTGTCAGCACAATCAACCCACCCACCCCCTTTTCAAATTGTTAACAAAGTTTGAAGAGAGGAAATGGAAAATTCCATAACAAAACTACTTCACCTCTTTGGGGCCAATACAATATAAAAGATTTTTACATCTTATATTTTAGTCAACAAGATGAAGTTTTGATCTAGATTGACTTCATTTAATTACACTTAAGCGATAATTAAGACAGAAATATTTAAGAGAAATTTTCCTAAGTGTCGATTTCTCGAATTGATGGGAGGGAAGAGGTTGGGGGTTATTGGGGCACAAATGAGAAATAAAAATTCTACAAAAAATGAAAAAATTCACCGTAACACGTATGTGGGTTTCCAGTTGCGTGAGTTCGTTTCTTATTCCTTCTAATAGTGCGGACACTGCATATTTTGTGGCCGAATAAAAATGTCCGCCGGGATTTCGAACCACACGATGTCCAGTCATGCTGAAAAGGAAACGTAACACCACCAATTAAATCGAACACTTGTAAAGAAACTGTATACTTTTTTCGTGAGTGAAAAAGAGCCATGAACGCCAAATCTACAGTATATGGTGTGACTATATTCATGGAAGTGTACAAGATTTGTGTATCACGTGGTAACGATGCTTTACAGCGCTATATGAAAGGAAGTCTATTATACAAAGAATAAATAAGACTTTTTATCTGTACAAATAGAATAAAAGGCTGCAACAGAATAATATCTAAGCAATATATCTTATACATATTAATTAAATATATATTTCTTTACTAAGTTTCACTATTAATTCTTACCTATTGATCAGAAAAATATGACCATCGTCTACTTTATTTTTCTGCATTTGCTGAAAAGCTTCTCTGGTACAAATACAAAGAGCCAAAACATTCACCTATTAAGAATACATGTATAGTTGTTGTATTAGTTATTATCTGACCATGAAAGGTGGTTAACTACTATCTTTCCTTCGTATTTTCTTAACACCAACACCAACCAACCACCCCCACCCCTAAAAAACACGACTGAATTTGCCAAAAACCATACTTGAAACTTTCATACGACATCAAAGAATTTCTAAGTGGAATTTAGTGATAAAAAAGAACCTTATAATCATATCTGATAATTAGATTATCTCTTAATTTTCTTTGTCCACAATGTGTCTTAAAAGTTAGAACAATTATCTTACATCTAGCATATTCCGCCAGTCCGCAGTACTACCTGACAGAAGAGGCGAGATATGTGCCAATCCAGCGTTGTTAATGCAAACATCCACACCCCCTAATTCCTTTTGGATCCGCCCAAACATCGAAAGAATCTCCTCCTCTTTTGTAAGATCACATTTCACTGGAATAAGCTTTCCTTTTTCTGATTTCAACTCTTTTTTTATATCCTGAAATTTAAAAAAAAAAAAGGCATCTCACTATGCATCTTGTTATCCCTCTCCTCTCTCAGCTAAAAGTATCCCTTCCCCCTCTCATCTCAACTTAAAATTCAGGGTTACTTCTCCCTCCCTGCTTTATTCTTGATAATCTTAATCTTGTGTCTCTTGTAAATCATAGGGAACAGAGTTGTCACGTTGTAATGGTTGCACTTACTCCTCGTCTTTATATAGTGAAGGACGGATTTAAGGAGTGTGCCCCCCCCCCCCGAAAAAAAATGTTTAAACCTGAGATAAATCATGGTTCCTTCTTTGAAAAGAAATCAGTTATTTGATAAAAGGGTGTAAATAAAAGGTTTTATTTCTTTATTCTCAGAAGACAGGAGCTTCTTCGGGTCTGACCTCTAGGCTTTGATTCCACAGACCTTTATATGAATTATCTTGTTAATCATGACAATAAGAAATCGTAAACTTATCGCCTACTTATAGAAGACTTCATTTTTTCCTACAAAATCTTTAGAATCACAGGAGCTTCAGGGGGCTTCACTATCTAGCCTGGGTACCCCCAAAAAATCTTAAGGTTGCTCTGGACCAACTGGGGCCTCCAGGCGGCCCCCAGACCCCTTGCCTAACAACTACACCCCCAACCCCCAACCCCCAACCCCGGCGAAACTATGAGTCCTTGATCCGCTCCTGTTACCTGTTGTACGCCAGCGGCACAAGTTGAACATTTCAAAGAGAATTTTGTTTCTAATATTAAATGCTACATGTATATGCTAACGTGTATCGGAGACATACCTTATCCTTTAGGTGTACAGGATTTATTCTTCACATGCAGTTACCTCGATTTGTTGGACGTTTCTCGCACAGCCAACTACTTTCATTCCATGCTTAACAAGAGCTCTTGTAATTGCTGCCCCCATCCCAGCCGAAGCACCGGTCACCAACGCTACCCGACCAACCCAACGCTCCATTCTGTCTGCCTGTTCGTTGTAACGTTATCATCTACCCCTGGGGATCTCGTGTTATCACTGTCCTGTATCCGCGCTGGTTGTGACTTGTTTGGATGAAGTGAAAATACGGAGTCAATCAACCGCTTCAAATCATTGCATAAGGATCATTCTCTTTAACAGTATAAGGCCTTTTTGCGGCCTACAATGACTTCAAAATTTCAAATAGTATTTTTCCCTTAAAAACAGCATGAATAAGTAGGCTTATGTTCCAATTTAATGATTAATGATGATTGGTTAATGATACAGTCGTATTTCTTAGGATATAGGGTCACAGAGTAATTTACTATCGGTTCGTATTAGCATTAGGGTTATGGGAAAACCCAAGAGGTGGGTGTGTTATTAGGTTACAACCGCACATTTAATAACCACCTTTAACAAACACCAACATTTGTATGTAAACTTCTTATAAACATAAAAAAGTGACTACCAAATTATGAACTTGGTTAAATTAAGGTGGTTATGACATGTAAATAAAAACTTTTCGCTTCATTTACATTAAACATTTTCGGAATCTCAGACAGCAGACTTTGGACTATGGAGTTTTTCGTTAAGGGGAAGTGTCAAAACATAATTTAGATAAAATAAATATATTTTTTGAAGTCTTGATTATTGATGATTACGTTTCGTTTCTATTTGTATGATTAAAACCACTATACACTATGAACACATTTACGAATCGAAGTGTGTGGGGGTGTGTACCCCACTCGTCCGAGAATTATAATAATAATGTAACGCTTTCTTCTCAAGTGATTGCTCGATTTGATAAATTTTAATATACCACCCTTTTCCAACAAAATCGTGTGCCAAGGTCAAGGACTAAATTAAAAAAAAATTGCTGACTAAAATCTTATTGAATGCACAGTCTGTAAATAAAAAAAATAATAAAACTCTGTCAAAGCAGTAATAGGCGTCCTCTAGAAAAAATGTTGATTTAAAAAAAAAATACCTGATCTGGGGGGAAAAGAAAACATTACCCCATGTCACGTACATATCACCTACAACTTTTTTCATAGGCGGATCCAGATATATTTGAATGGAAAGGGTGAAGAGAAAAAAACATTTACGAACCAAAGCAAAGAGTTTTGAACTACACCCGATTTTAAAACCCTAATTTACAATAATTTTTCTTTTAAAATACGAGGGGCATTTGAAAAGTTCTGAGAACTGCTTGATAAAATATTAACCATTTCACAGAAGTTAATAAAGTTGATACACAGGCACTTGACGTTTTAAATCTTTCTCTTTAGTGGTAAAAATATCTCCATACTATAATAATTCTTGTTATTATCATAGTATGGGGATATTTTTATCAATAAAGAGAAAGATTTAAAACGTCAAGTGTCTGTAAGTTGATACCATTGAATGAGCTGGAAATGTTGATCGTAATTTTCTTAAATTTATGACGTAATAACTGACAAAAATGTTAAGCAAAGGCCTACTGAAAAGTCCGTTTTTTCCAGTTGAGCACATCGAAAAAGTGCTGTGAAAGGCTTCTTTGAAAAGATATTTTAAAGAAAATTTGCATGGATGTAGAGCAAGACTATAAGAATGGTACGGTTAATCAGCAATGCCATATTTTATATATATATATTTTTTTTTGCTTGTTTAATAAGAACAGTACTTAATGTTATCTTAGGCGTTCAAAAAAGATTTTTATTTATAAGATATAGCTGGAATTTCGGTCTATTATATAGCTCTCCACTGTTTTAAACAAAACATAATCTGTATAAAACTGAAGTGTAATAATGCAGTTTTCCACAAATGTATCTTGAATATCAGGGCTCTTACCGTTTACGAATAAGACGTACAGTAGTCTTCCCCGGGACAAATTTCTGTGCGTATTTTTTCATATTATTTCAACTTTGGCAATCCAAAACTCACTGTTGCTTTTGACTTTCGACTCAAAAAATAAATTTGAATTTCATTGCCATGTACAATCTTAGTTACTTTGCATGATTTAAAATTTTCGAATATATCGAGTTACGCTGGGGTTAAAACTACACCGGCGCCATTTTGGTTTTTACGAGAAAATATGGGACATCCTTAGCTTAACTTCTCTTGAGCTTTAATCGTTCCCGCATAATTAGTTAAAACACCTGAAGAATTAATGCCAGCAAATTCTGTAACACCGTCCACTATTTTCCTGTGATTGTAAACTTTGTGTTTTTCTCGTAGCAGCGTCTTTTTTGCCCAATATTTTTCGCGAGATTCGATAATAACATGCTATAATGTTTGACACACTCTTAAACCACCTCAAAACTATAGGCGCTCCTGAATATAACCTCCATATGATACACTGTAGTCTATGTAAATATTCTTCCAACTGGTAGTTGTATCCGTTAACGTGCATCCGAGTAATGAACAAATGCGCTTGTTGACTTTAAAATTTTACTTCACTGAAATTGTGTTTCTTGTTACGTCATTTTTATGGTCAGTATGCTAGACATTCGAGATTCTGACGTCATTTTCGGAGTTATTGCGTAATAAAATTTACAATATGACGTCACAATATGCGTATATTTTTGTGATCTGTCCAATGATATTGGACAGTAATTCAGTAACTCAGTAATTTCCGTTAAAGGGTTAATATTTTATCAAACAGTTCTCAGAACTTTTCAAATGCCTCTCGTATTTAACTGAATATTATAATTACATTCTCATTGTAAGCCAAGTGTGCTTCAAGTTAGGCAAGAATCTAAATTCTGGGGTCGCTTTGTTGCTTCCACTGGATCTAGGAATCTTCTTGTATTCTGGGAATTTGAAAGACAGACTTTTTAAACGCATTTATTTTTTAAGTTTGCATCGGCGTATTACAATGAAGAATTTGTATTTAGCTCTTGGCCATGATTATAATGCAAGTTGAATTATCGAAGGGATTCCATGAACACTATCAGTCTTATATACATGAATATAATTCAACAACAAAAAAACGCCATAATTATGCTAAAAGTTATTCAATATTTTGCACGTATACGTATTATCTATCTCAAGTATTTCATAATATTTTTAAAAGCAAAAACACTGATGCTCCCGTATGGCAACTTATAGTGAAGGTTAAACTTTTCAAATGCAAATCAAATATGTTGATTCCCAAAGTAAGGTCTTGTCTCGAGGAATATACCTGTGAAATATGAAAGCCTTAGCAGAAACCACTGAATAGATATGGAAAAGGTTAAAAAGTAAGTCAAACATCAAGGTCAAATGGTCAAAATTAAAGATATGCAAGGAAAGTCCTTCTCACAAGAAACACGCATGTGAAATATGAAAGATATGAACCGTTGAAAAGTTATGGCCTAGGTTAAAGTTTTTCAAAAGTAGATCAAATTCCAAGGTCAGTTTTGTTGGTATTCAAAGTAAGGTCTTGTCAGAAGGATTACATATGTGAAGTATGAAAGTCTTAGCACCAACTATTCAAAAGTAATGTCCAGGGTTAAAGTTTTCCAAAAGTAATATAAACTCCAAAGTCAAGGTCAATGGGCTATAATTGTTGGTATCCAAAGGAGGGTCTTGTTACAAGAAACACACATGTGAAGTATGAAAGCCCTAGCTCCAACTGTTCAAAAGTAATGGCCAAGGTTAAAGTTTTTCAAAAGAAGTTCAAAAGTTGTTGGTATTCAAAGAAAGGATTACAGATGTGAAGTATGAAAGCCTTAGCACCAATTGTTCATAAGTTATGCCCGATGTTAAAGTTAATTTAAGTTTTGCAAAACTTGGTCAAACTCCAAGGTCAAGGTCAATAGGTCAAATATGATGGTACCCAATGCAAAGAAAGGTCTTGTCACAAGATATACACATATTAAATATGAAAGTCATAGCTCCAACCGATCAAAAGTTAAGGGCAATGTTAAAGTTTTTTTTGCGGACAAACAGATAAACCGACAGACAGACGGACGGACAGGGCAAAAACTATATACTGTACTATATAAAAATAGAGAGGAAACATTTCATAATTCTTTTCATTTTGAGTAATTAAAATCACTCAATTAAATCTGCCTAGCAATACACTTTTTATTATTCAGATCGAGTATTTTGCTTTCAGTGCCTCGTTCTTGAACAAGCCAGATATATAATGCAATATACTAAAACTATATTTTCCAACACTTTTTTTTAAATATCTGATTTACTTTCAAAAGAAATAGATGGTTGAACGGTTTCTATGTTTAATTTATTTTAACCGAGCTGATGTGAATCAACTGTTGAAAAAATCACTATCCTATATTCCTAATATAATTTTCCTATATAACATTTTTGAAGAAGTTTTCCCATTATATCACAAATATGATATTTTTATCCATATGCTCTGAAAAACTGCTGAATCACGCCGGATATAGTTATATTACCCCGGAAACAGTTATATTGCCCTCCCGAACACCGTTATATTCCCTCGCGTGCAGTCATTCTGCATATTGATTAAGTCGGGTTCGAAATTCACAGAGGCAGTTGCTAAGCACACGTAAACAGTTCCGCGAAGAGGAACTAGATAGTTTGATTGAGGAGAAAATTCCGTAAATACAACAAAAGTTATAAACACAAATGTCAGCGTGCTGAAAACATTCTGCAATGAAACAAGACGGAATATTTCGGAATTATTTATAAAGGAAGAGAAATCGGCCTTCATAACTTTCAGCCGTCCCCCGTTATCATTTTAACAACAATAGTGTTAATGATACTTAGCATTACTATCGAAACTATTAATACCCACCAATCAGCTACATGTATTTAAAAAAATAATTTGCATGTTTTTTTTCTAGATATTTACACAGGTCCATATATAGTCGTCAATGAATATGTCCGATTTTGGTTTTTCAAAAATGTTATATATTATATATTACACGACTTCTCGGGCAACAATACCAGAATATTTGCCCCCGAGGTGACAGGAAAGCCCTGGAGTGTTATGTCGCCCGATGCCGAAGGCATAAAATTGGTGGGTACCAAAAGTTTCGATAATAAGGAACATTAACACTATTGTTGTTAAAATGATAACGGGGGACGGCTGAAAGTTATGAAGGCTGATTTCTCTTCCTCTATAAATAATTCCG